ATTCTCGCCTCATCCGGAAGGTAGAACTGTCTGGGTGGGAGGAGGAATTGCTGTGTGCTGAGCGCTGGCTGGTGCGGGGTGACGAGAGCAGGGTGCGAGCGGCAGGTGTTTGAACCAGGAGCTCCAAGAGCAACAGCTGGGCTCAAAGCGTTCAACTCCCAACCCTCAGCTCCTGGAAGCGCTGCTCCTCGGAAGGGGACGTGAGAAGCTGGGCGGAGCCCCGCATGGTCGCTAATGAACGAACATGGCAAAGGAACCCCTCCTCCCCCCAGGAGAGAGCAGCCCCGCACCTGCTCAAAGCTGGGCCTGTTGGCGAAGCGACGGGAGAGAGCCGAGCACCGACCTGAACGGAGAATGACTTCCCACCCCACCCCAGGCAGGAGCTTCGGGTGGGTAGCACCAGAAGCCACTTCCCGGGGTCTACTCCCATGGCGGCTGCGAAACAAACCATCATTATTCCCCTGGCCTGGCTCAGGAGGAATTAGGGTCTCCCTAGGGAGGTTTAAGAACAACCGTCGCGGATGGTCTAGTGAGGACCTTGCCTGATGCATGCTGCCCCTGGGTGACTGGTTGAGGCAGCCGTAGTGCCGGGGGGGCTCAGCGTGGAGGTTCCTGGATGCCACGCTGCAATGCAGCCCAGACGCTGGCTCAGTGCCCGGGGCCGGGTTGGTGCTGAGGTGGAATCAGACAGAGGTGACATAGGCGTGGTTGCCCAGGGCAGGTTGCCGGGTCCTGTGCTGTAGGGCGACTGAGGCAGTCACAAGAATGCAGCTCCAGCCACGTGTGCAGGATTCCCCGAGTTTTGCTGATATCACGAGGATAAGATATGCCCAGAAACCCAGCCCCAAGTGAGGACATTCTGTCTGTGTGAGGTAATGACGAACCGTCTCCCCAGGGTACAGGCTGAATGGAGAGCAGGCCTGGCCCCGGCACGCGGAGGCTCTGGGAGCTCTGGCAGGATGTTTTCCTTTCCTCGCGGCCTTGATGGGGCTTTCAAGGGTTTGACTCGTTTGTGGGTTTTACGGTGACTTGAAGAAGTAGCAAGGCTCCGAGGAGCCGAGTGCAGCACGCGTTCCCACTCGCTCAGACCGGACTAGCCAAAGCGCCAGAGACTAACCCAGGAGGGACCAAGCTTGGCAGAGGGGTGGACTGTACCTGTAGCTTCCAAGTACTGACCCAGGTACCAATCCTGGCCCTGAAAACTTCTGCTCCCTCCCAGCCGCCCTCCCTTGCCTAGAGATTCCTCTTCCTAGCGCTATCCTGCCCCATCTCCTGTTAGAGATGAACATAGGGGCCAGCCCCTACTGCACCATCTCTGCCTCCTCCAAGCCCAGGGCCGCTCCAACTGCAAAGAACCCCCAAGACTAGAGCAGCCCTCGGCTTTTCCGGGCACGCACTGATGGGGCAGCTCTTGTGAATTTAGTCACTCAGCAGAGAAAAGGAGCCAGGGGGCAGCTAACTTTTGGGGCTCCGCAGAGAGGGTGGGTGCTCCCCATTTCTAGAGACTGCGGAGTGTGTGGAAAGGGGACTGAGAGGAAACTGATGACCAAAGAAAGAGGAGAAAAGCTCTGGCTCCAGGGGAAGAGGTGGCCGGCCATCGGAGAAGGGGTGAGGGCTGGTGAAGGCCTTGGCTATAGAGGAATAATAGTTCCTCTGAGGTGCGGTCCCTCAGGCCGAGCACCCGTCAGCGTCCCCCAGGCTGGGGAAGGCAAAGGGCCTGGTGCTGCTCTCACGCTGGGAAAGGAGGATCTGGCCGCGGGGCGAACCCTGGCTTCTCAGTCCAGATTCCAGTTCTCAGTAAACTGCATTCCGACGCCCAAGGCAACCCTAGATCTGAATCTCTGCCCCAGCCCGGCTCGCCCGCCGGTGGGTGGGCACCATCTCTGCCCCATTCGCTGCGGGAGGCCAAGAGCGCTGGCCCTGCCCTGTGTCTGCTTGTGGCGCTGATTGGCTTTCCCAGCCGTTTGCCTCTGCTGTGTGATCTGGCAGGGCCCGGAGGTCAGCCGTTGCCCGGCAGGGATGAGACACACACACGGAACAGCTCCAAGCTGATGTGCAAAGCCGTACCAATCAGATACGCAGCACACACAGCTCGTACCACACACATGCAGACAAAGCCCAGGGCTCAGCTTTTCCGCCGAAACCTCGCTCATCCACCCCCACAAGCCTGCGGTGCCGGGAGCGCCTGCTCCTCGCTTATCTTGCGCTGCTCGAGATTTCAGCCTCTGGTGGCAAAAAGTGGGGGGGGAGGGGGG